AGATAGATAGACTTATAGATAGATAGATAGATAGATAGATAGATAAATAGATAAAAAAGTTAAAAAAGTATTCTTCATGAGTGTTTAGTAACCAGATTAATTCCACCATATGTTTATATTAAATAAAAGCATTTCTACATTTATATAATTTAAAACATTAATAATATATACCACCAAAAGTTTGGAATAATTGAAACTCTTATAACATATTATATTGATATTACATCATGGCAGCAGAGCAGCATATTATACTGATTTCTGAAGATCATGTGACGCTGAAGACTGGAGGAATGATGCTGAAAATACAGCTGCGCATCACAGAAATACATTACAGTTTAACAGAGATTCACAGAGAAAACAGCTGTTTTACATTATAATAATATTTCATAATTTTTACTGTATTTTCCATCACATACATGCAGCCTTGCTGAGCAGAAGAGACTTTTAAAAACATTAAAAATTCAATCATTAATTATTCCAAATGCGCTCATTTGATAGTTTTATGGTGTGTTTTGTTCATTCGAAGCCTGAAAGCATTTGTTACAGCATATTATTTGATCTTATTAGGTGCATAAAAAAGTATTCTTCATGAGTGTTTAGTAACCAGATTAATTCCACCATATGTTTATATTAAATAAAAGCATTTCTACATTTATATAATTTAAAACATTAATAATATATACCACCAAAAGTTTGGAATAATTGAAACTCTTATAACATATTATATTGATATTACATCATGGCAGCAGAGCAGCATATTATACTGATTTCTGAAGATCATGTGACGCTGAAGACTGGAGGAATGATGCTGAAAATACAGCTGCGCATCACAGAAATACATTACAGTTTAACAGAGATTCACAGAGAAAACAGCTGTTTTACATTCTAATAATATTTCATAATTTTTACTGTATTTTCCATCACATACATGCAGCCGTGCTGAGCAGAAGAGACTTTTAAAAACATTAAAAATTCAATCATTAATTATTCCAAATGCGCTCATTTGATAGTTTTATGGTGTGTTTTGTTCATTCGAAGCCTGACAGCATTTGCTACAGCATATTATTTGATCTTATTAGGTGCATTACTCGTTTCTCGGTCTTGACTGTTGATACCTGAAGCAGAAATGTTACCTGCAGTTACTTTAGAGAGGGGAAGCAAAGCGCCAAACTCAGGGGACGGGATGGAGCACAGTTTGGTGTTTTTATGACATCCATCCCATGATCCTCCTGGATGATCCTGAACACACAAACACACTTTAACCTAAACTTTCCTTTCTGACAACTAAAACTTTACATTGAACTCGGGACGTCAAAACTCACCAGTAACACTCCCACATAAAGCGTGGACGGGGCCCGGTTCGACAGGGGCCCGCAGAACTGGACGCTCCCGCGCTGGACGCACTCGTCCTGGACGAAGCAGACTCTCTGCCCGACGGCGAGCGGCTGCGGGACGCTGGGATTGGGGCCGGACTCCGCAGCGCGTGACAGCATGCTGACGGGGCCCTGGCTGTTAGCGGACGGCGCGAGGTTCGGCGGGCGGTCGCTGGAGCTGCCGCTGCCGCTGCCGCCGCGGGACGATCGAGGGAGCGTGATCTCACTGACCGGGAGGAACAGCCCGCAGCCGTCTGGACACCAGAACAACTGATGCCCTTTATAGCTTCCATTGCATTTACCACGACCTGCTGCCCATCCCTGACAGAGACAGACAGAGCAAGAGATGCGCCACTTACATTTTGTTATTAAAAATTTAATTTAATGAAACAGATTATATAATAATATTTTTTTATTTGTCATTATAAGCAATGAGTTATTTTTAATTAAATTACGTAACAATAATAATATTTTATTAATATTAAATATTTAATTATAATTCGTTTTTTCTTTTTGTTACTTTTAAAAATGTCCTGTCTTGTTTCCAATAAACAACAAACTAATATATATTTTACTAAATGTATTATTATTAATAATAATAACAACAATAATAATACAATTAATAATAATTATTATTATGCACTATAATACATTATTATTATTATTAATTAAATTTTCAATAATATATAAACATGTCTTTTTTTTTAAAACTACATTTATGCTTAAACCGAGAGGGGGGGAATATCTCACGCAATTTTGCTTCCGAAGTAAATGTCTCCTCTTCATCTATATTATAACACTGGAAAACAAGATTGAGAAAATGTCTGTTGTTCACAGCGACATCCAATCTCACTTTTAGCTGAACCCCGAAATGAACGGCGGAGCTTCCCCTCGTCAGCGGCCCGCGGTAACGAAGCTCCGCCTCGGCGAGCTCTGATTGGCTGCGGCTCCAGATGACCCGCACCTCTGACCCCAGCGCTAAAGCCGCCATTCGCTGCAGGAACTGCGTCCTGGACAGCAGTTTGACACGGACGTCCAGGTCAGGGACGGGTTCGAGCAGACCGGCGAACTCGGCCGGGACTTCATTGAGCACCTGTCTGTCCACCTTCACCACGCAGCCATTATCGATCACCTGTGGGGAATAAAGGGTACTGTCGCTTTAAGAACTTGTCATGAGCTATGAGAACATAAACACCTGACACTGACACCACAAATGGACTCCCAGCGGTTAATTACAGATGAAGTCTCTCACCTTCACCCACAGGTAATCTCCTCTCCCGCTCCTGTGCGCTCCTCCCTCCTGCTGCTGACAGAGCTGCCCCCGCTGCAGGCGAATGGTTCCTTCCAGGTGGTCCTGCACTCTGTAGTCGGACGCGACCATGTACATTTTGGGGGAGCGTCGCCTTCTACTGTGCTGTGCGTCGCCGGACATGGTGATGGACCTGCGCGTGTAAGAGACAGTAACACTTCACTGATTTCAGTCAAACTCAATAAAACATTATTAGTGACCAATGAAAACTAAGTTCGAATCGAATTCGCTTAGTTTCAAACTGGGAAACTACGCGCAAAGTGAACCAAAAAACATTTCCTGCCTCATCAAACCTGCTGAACCGCATCTGGCGGTTTGATCGGGGCTGTAAAACACGCTGAAACACAGGCAACACACGTTAACTTACCGATAAAGTCATCACCTCGGTTTAAAAGTGCGACACTTGTGCAATAAACACAATAATGCCTCACTTTCACTAAAGCAGGAAGCGAGATGACGGACGGCTGCGTGGACCAATCAGAGAGAAAGAATGTTTGGGCGGCGAACGCTCGCTGAACGGCGGGTGGGCGGGGCTTCGCTCTCTGAACGGGGGTGGGCGGGGCTTCGCTCTGAGGGAAATTCCACTGTTGCGTTTTTAGAAATGAGTTTTTTCTTCTGTCGGATATTTTGCTCATCTTCCGAGAATTCAAGGGTAGATACACTTATCTTAGACCATATCTATATTCGTTCAAGATAGTTGGATTTGACATTTATGAACAAAACTACCTAAAGCACTGAAAACATGCGTTTGTTACATGTCCCCGGTCTCTAACGCAACATTTCAACATGAAATATAATGTTTGATATCCTTCAGAAGTCATTTTTGTGTACCTCCATATCCCATCTGTGCTGTAAATACATTTATTTCAAAATAAATCGATAATATCTTAGATAAAATACACATTTTAGTCGTCTCCGCAGGGTTTCACTCAGCCCTGTTACCCTAACACAACCCCCTCTGAAAAACATTTTCAACATGATATTGCAACACGTGGATCTGCTGAAGGCAATGCAATGCCATTTTCTGCATATTTGATGATATTGTAATGATGACTGGGAGCGTCAACACTGTCCTGTTACCTAAATTATTTCTTAGATGTTACTTGTTTATTTTAAAAATACAAATATTTGGTGAATCACTATAATTTGCTGAGTATCCTCATAATATTAGCATGTACTCCATGTGGCTATATTATATGTATTTGCTAATTTTATCCTGAAATCTCAATCCTGTTACTCATCTATCTATCTATCTATCCAGACTTAGGGTGTCCTTAGGAGTGTTTTAGCTCACATCCTCATCTTCTCAGAATCTAACAGAACCGCAGACTGGAGGCAGGTCACTGATGTGAGGCCTTTAAGGCCTGATAAGATTCACGCCTCTCAAGCTGGGCTTGTCCAATGAGAAAGGCCGAAATCCCAAGCGGGAGTTTGGAAATACTGGGGAGTTTATGACTCTTTGTGTGAGAGCATGAGAGTAATTTGCAAATGGAACTTGAATCAAAATTACTAAAGATTCTCAGGACACTAATATATTGCCTATGTACCAACATATAATATACACGCTCGTTTAGATCATCAGAAGACGAATTCATAGATACTAAACATGGTAGGATTACATATGGTAAGATGACAGGAACGAGTGGCTCCATCATAAGCCTGCATAAAACAGTATACAATATAAAAGACAATATACACAATGACCTGAAGGATATGTGTGTTCATTCAAAGAAAGTTTTTCCTATGAATTAATTAGAGAACAGTCCATTTCTCTGGGCATTATGTGTCTTTCTTATGAGGAAAATGAGTGAGTTTCTCTGCCCGCATTCCTTTGGGCAATAAAACCAGTGATATCAGCGTTGGTTGCCATGGAACCAGAGGCCTGTTCTGCCCTCCTGAGGTATTAAGACGCATTTCAGGGGAAGGGTCCATAGGCCCTCATATGGCTTGTTAACTGAGGGGTGTTACAGAGTATTTATTAAATATAAATAAAAATATATATATTGTGTGTCTGATTGGTCCAGACGCTACACAGGACTGAGAAAAATGCATCTATCTTCCACTTAAAAACCGTGTAAAAAATTAAATAAAGTTACCTGAGATTGACCAGTACAGATTTTGAATCGTTAATTATGTGTATTACTAGATTCAGTCTTAAAAAAAGATAAAGATTTTTTTTGGAAGAGTTTTGGAAGCAAATGGCACCCATTCGGTGGAATGGAACAAGAGTCACTTTTAAGTCAGACATTTTATTAGATTCTACTTTCGTAGTCACAAAAATGGTTACATTTTAAACACAACAAACAGGTTTTTTTTAAGAAACATTTTTATGCATAATATTATAGACTTTAACTTTTCACATTAAACATACAAAATATTAAATACACATTAATAAATAAGTGCGCAAGTTAAGGAAAATACAAGAAATTCAATATAAAACTAAAGACTTTAGAAAACCTGCCAACTTTGCATTGTTTAAAAAAAACAAAAGACTTAAACCTCTTCAAAAAGAACAACAGACGCTAATCTTCCCTCGTTTTTAGAAGTACTAGAATTGGTTAAATCTAAGTGCTAACTAGTTGAGCTCTTGTAGCGCCAGCGCTATCAGGCTGATGCCGCAGAGGACCTCAGTGAAACACTCATCACACTGTGTCAGTCTGGTCTCTGATGCTATGGTCACTGCTCTGAGTGCTCGGTGTTGATGAAGTACGTGCTCAGCTGTCCTTTGCCCTTCACGTGGATCGCTCCTCTCAGAGTTACGCTGAAGCCCAGCCTTTGAGCCACCTGCGCCGTCTCCTCTGTCACCTGAAAACCCGACAAACAACATACATCTGAAGTGAGATCACGTGGAGCTGTATTTGTGTACAAGTTGACATTTACACCTGGTGCTATTAACATGCATCTCAAATGGGTTTCCACTCATAATGCTGCAGGCTCCCACTTTTTTATTCAACTTCAAACATGCTATTTTGTTAATTTGTGACCCTGGAGCACAAAACCAGTCATGAGGGTCAATTTTTTAAAATTGAGATGCATGCATCATCTGAAAGCTGAATAAATCAGCTTTGCATTGATGTATGGTTTGTTAGGATAGCACAATATTTGGCCGAGATACAACTATTTGAAAATCTGGAATCTGAGGGTGCAAAAAAAATCTAAATATTGAGAAAATCATCTTTAAAGTTGTCCAAATGAAGTTCTTAGCAATGCATATTACTAATCAAACATTACGTTTTGATATATTTATGGTAGGAAATTTACAAAATGTCTTCATGGAACATGATCTTTACTTAATAAACTAATGATTTTTGGCATAAAAGAAAAATCTATAATTGTGACCCAAACAATGTATTGTTGGCTATTGCTACAAATATCCCCCAGCGACTTAACACTGCTTTTGTGCTGCAGGGTCACATACAGGTTTAGAAGACTTGATATGGATCACTCTAATGCAGTGTTTCTCAACCAGGGGCCCGGGGCCCACTAGAGGGCCCCAGCAAACCTTTAATGGAGCCTCGAGATGACTTAAAGGAACACTCCACTATTTTTGAAAATAGGCTCATTTTCCAACTCCCCTAGAGTTAAACAGTCGAGTTTTACCATTTTTGAATCCATTCAGGAATCGAAACCGGTAAAACTCTACTGTTTAACTCTAGGGGAGCTGGAAAATGAGCCTATTTTCAAAAATAGTGGTGTTCCTTTAAAATTTTAATTCAGTTGCAAATCTTCTGCATTTCCCTGAGAAGCTTTGTGTCACAAAAACACTGAAACATATATTTATCTCATTTTATACCACTCAAGCTTCTCAGGGAACTTAAGCGTTCTCTTAAAAATGTTTTGTGAACGAATGCATATTTCTCGGGTAGTACAAAATATCTGCTAATTTGTCAGGGAGCACAAAAGTTTTGCGAACAAATGGAAACTAGACACCGAACCTGTGAATATTTTTATGGACAATAAAGGTAAATCTAAAGGTTCATATCAGTCTAAAACATGAAATGCAGTTTAACCAAAGAGAGCTCAGGCCTCATGTCAGAGACTAACTTTAGCTTTGTTAATTTCCCTGTGCAAATAAACCATCTTTTTTGTTTGAGCAGGGCAGATTCCTGAGGTTTACGCAGAAACGCTTCCTTGCATTACACCACAGACAGACTGATGTTTTGATGCAGCAGACAGTGAGCGCTCACCTGTATTTTATCCAGGACTCCAGTGCTGTCCATCCGGCTGGCCACATTAACCGTGTTTCCCCAGATGTCATACTGAGGTTTATGAGCGCCGATGACGCCTGCGATCAGAGGGCCGTGATTTATACCTGAACAACACAACACCCAACACCAGTCAGATTAATGTTAGATTTATTCGATTCTTGTAAATGATTCTGAGAGTCTCTTCTGCTCACCAAACCTGCATTTATTTGATCAAAGATACAGTAAAAATTATGAAATATTATTCTAATTTAAAACAGCTGCTTTCTCTGTGAATATCTGTTAAACTGTAATTTATTTCTCTGAATTTTCAGCATCATTACTGCAGTCTTCAGTGTCACATGATCTTCAGAAATCATTCTAATATGCTGATTTATTATTAATGATATGGAAACCGTGATACATTTTATTTTTCAGGACTCACAGATGAACAGAAAGTTCAGAAGAACAGCATTTATTTGAAATGGAAATATTTTGTCACATTATAAATGTCTTTACTGGCACTTTTAATGTGTTGTTTATTAATAAAAGTATAATTTATTTCTTTATTTTTTTACTTTCCCCAAACTTTTGAATGATAGATTATCACGGATTCCGCAAAAATATTGTGCAGCACGACTGTGTTCAACATTGATAATAATCAGAAATGTTTCTCGAGCAGCAAATCAGCATATTATACTGATTTCTGAAGATCATGTGACACTGAAGACTGGAGGAATGATGCTGAAAATACAGCTGCGCATCACAGAAATACATTACAGCTTAACAGAGATTCACAGAGAAAACAGCTGTTTTACATCATAATAATATTTCACTATTTTTAATGTATTTTTATCAGATAAATGCAGCCTTGGTGAGCAGAACTTTTGACCAATACTGTATATATATATATACTACAGTATATAATAAGTGTCTGTGTTGTACCGATCCTCAGTTGGAAGCTGTTGAACGAGTGCATGTTGATGTTCTCCAGTCTCCCCATCAGAGCGATGGCGAAGTCCAGCATGCAGCGGACGTGACTGTAGCTTGTGTCGCACGTCTGTGAATGGTAAAAACAGATGAAAACTCATGCATGTCTATTTACACATGCAAAACATGCCCTTTAAGCATGCCACACGCACGCATACACCTGTGACTCACTTGTCTCTCCTCTGTTTTGGAAGGTTTGATCAGTCCAGCCACCGCCATGTAGGTGCTGCCGATGGTCTTGATCTTTTCCACGGCGCTGAACTTGGGCTTGTTGAGGAGCTGTAAGAGA